TTTTCTTTCTTTCTCTTTCTTTCTTTCTTTTTCTTCTCTTTCCATCTTGTATTATTTATTCTTCCTTCTCTCTCTTTCCCTTTCTTTCCCTTTCTTCCATCCTTTCCTTATTTTCTTTTTCCCACTGCCCTTCCCTTCCCATTTCCTTTTTAACTCCTTCCTTCCCTCCCTCCCTCCCTCCCTCATCTCTCTCTCTCTCTTTCCTTCCTTCCTTCCCATCTTTCTGTTTCCTATTCTGTCCGTCCTCCCTCCCTCCCTCCCAACAGTTGCTAGAAGCAGCTTACTTCTAAATTGACCGAATAGGTTTCATTTTATAAATCTGTATTTGTTTTCTGAACACATTTCCACCGGGTCCCGCGGTGCGCAAAATACTGTAATGAGAAGCGAGACAAAAGCGAAGCCATCGAGGGAAGATGAAGGTTGCGAAACGCAGGTGCCGACGGGTGGGGACGAGGCCCCCGGGCCTTCAGCTGCCCGCCCTCTGCTCCTCCTCGCTCTCAGCCTCTCGATGGGCAGGTGAAGGGTGGGACAGACGTGGGGAGAGCCACCTGTGCGGTCTCGGGCGCCTCGGAGGAGAGGTCTACCATGAACGTCATTAATCAACCCCGATGCAAACCGTGGGCAAATAAATGCCCATCCACGCCCGCCGCCCCCCCGCTTCTCTCTGCTTCACCAACCGCAGGAGAACGCAGAGGACAATTAAGCCAGTGCACAAATGGCACACCAGCCAATCTGGGTCGGCACGTGAAAAAGCCAGGCTGCGAGGAACGGGCGATGCCCAGCTGTGAGCACGCGGGTGAGTTCTGCACGCGAGCAGCCCCCTCGAACAAGCGCCGCTTTGCGGAGGAGAGCCGGGGAACGTGCCGACCGAGGCTTACAAGCCAAAGGATTAATGACGGGCAGAATTGCACCCCTGGCCAGCCACCCCCCGTGTTTTTCTTATAAAACCAGGGAAGCAAAGAGAGGGGCTTAAATGCAGATGCTGTTTAAGAACGGATGAGATACGTTGCTTGTGCGCTCCAGGGGTTTTACAAATACCCCATTCAGACACAGCGGGGCGCAAGCAGAGTGGCTGTGATGACAGGGCAGGCAACAAAAGTGGCGTATGGAATTGTCATGTACGCGGAGAAAAGGCGCGGCAGCCGTTCCCTTTCGGAAGGATCGGAGCATTGGCTGGCGGGAACGGGGTTCCACTTCACGCCGATTCCTGGATTCCCACAACCAGGAAGTCTGTGGTAGGAGGACCAGCAGGGCAGTGTTTCTCAAGCTCAGCAACTTTAAGAGGTGTGGACCAACTCCCAGAATTCCCCAGCCAGCCTGCTTTAAGTTGGGTGGGCTTCCACTCCCAGAATTCCCCAGCCAGCACACTTTAAGATGTGCGGACGTCAACTCCCAGAATTCCCCAGCCAGCACGCTTTAAAATGGGCGGACTTCCACTCCCAGAATTCTGAGAGTTGAATTCTGGGAGTTGAAGTCTACCCATCTTAAAGTTGCCGAGGTTGAGAAAAACTGCAGTATGGAATCAAGAGCTGGTACTTTGGTGAGAGTTACTACTTAATCAATGATTAAGGGCAGAACACAAGATAAAGGCAGTGGCTGTTTATGGCACTCCCTGCCACCTGATGGGGTAACTGAGGAAATCATCACCCATTTTTCAAGGGGACAGACGTTGCAATGAAACGAAAAGGTTCTCCTGCAGCTGCCAAACAAAGTCAAATGCAAGATAGTTCAGCCAAACGGCTCACTGTTCTTTTCAAAGAACAAGAATGGGATGAGGAAGTATCAGTGGGGCAATAAGAACCATGGGTTGGGAATGACCTACAGCAGGGTTTCTCAACCTTGGCAGCTTTCAGAAGTGTGGACTTCAACTCCCAGAATTCCCCAGCCAGCCTTGCTGGCTGGGGAATTCTGGGAGTTGAAGTCCACACTTCTGAAAGTCGCCGTGGTTGAGAAACACTGACCTACAGGAACATAAAAAAAAAATCTGCCGAGTTCTTCGTGCAGGCATTCAAACGCTCCTTAAAAAGTATTTCGTTTTGCTTGCTTTTCAGTTAGGATCAGTTATTCTTGCCCTTGGCTGGGGGTTATGGGGGGCGTAATCCCAGCACATCTGAATGGTACCTGTTTTTGGAAAAGGGTTTCATAATCATTTTCTATGCCGAGGCTGCAATTCTAAACCGTAGGCATCCTTTTCTCTCTCTTGCATTTATATAGCATTCTGACTGCATTAAAAAAACAGCAATGTCAACATTTTAATCTAGGAAAATACATTTCGGGATGAAAAGCAGCCGATCGATATTATAAAATGAATTTCTTCTCCAAGCTAGTCATCTATCTGGCCAGACCAAATGCTGAAGACACTGAATGGGGTGGGAGAAATTCTTGATTTCCAAGCTCTACTTGTGAGAAGCCAGCAGCAGGAGTGAATTTCCAAAGGCGATTCTACCCGAATAGCACCGACAGACTTTTCCACTGACCATCCAACACTTGTTGAGCTGGCAGAAAATGTGCCAAGCCCGCCCCCCCCACGACAGTTAAGCTTGGTGACTGTCCCTTATGGGTTTTAATGCATGACCTACCACCTATTTTGGGGTGGGGTCAGGCTGGGCATAACCAGTCACGGGCACAGAGTTGCTTGGCGTGGGTAACGTAGGTTATTTCTGAACGTGGGTGTAGCGTTCTTTTGGAAGAGTGCTAAACCTGCGTCCAGGAATCTCTCAGCTGGCAGGGTGCAGGAATGGAGGAAGGGGTGGCGTGGAGGAGAAAGCCGTTGCTAACAAGCAATCTCCATTTTTGATGAGGGTTGCAGCCCAACAGCCTTGCTGGCAGGGAGTCAGTTCTGTCCTCATGGCTGACAGAGCCAGAAGGCCCGATGCCCTGCCCTCAAAGGAAAAAACATTTTAAAAATACAGCCCAGCAGAACTGCTGGTTAGCAGAAGTTCCATAATGAAATTCAGCAGAATTCAGGCTGGCAGAACCCACCTCTTTTGTTATTTGACTGACTCCTGGGCAGCACGGGACTAGCACAAATCCTTCTTTAAAATATACAACTAGCGCCATGAGTGCTAAACACGTGTTTAACAAACAGGTCTCGCGCTCCTTCGAACGAACGCTAGACCTGGGTTTGTAAGGAGCCCGCATACGGCTGACAAGGGCTTCAGAAAGCAGCAGCCTGGCATCAGTCTAAGGGAGCAGCAGGGCCAACTGTCCACGGAGGGCAGTGCCCAGAGGCCGAGGGATGGGGGCATGCCCGCAGCCTCCTACAATGGCCAAGGGGACCTGGGCAGATCCCTTCCCTAACAGCATCAGCATCTCAGTCACCAACGAAACGGGCTAGGTGGTAGGAAAACTTGTGTTGGGAGATGAAGGGAATCACAAAACAGGAATTGTGAAAGAAAATTTTAAGCTGCCTTGGTAGTGGGCTGGGGACCAGCAGAAGAGGACCTCCTGAGGGCACAGCACAAAATATGCCAGCTGGGGAACCTGTAGATGAGGCCCAAGAAAGAAAGGGATTTTGATCTAGGGAGGAACAGAGTCTGCATATTTGTTCCAAAGAGATTCCAAATCATGCAATGTAACGCTCTAAATTCCACAATCTGGCACAAGGCCTTCATGCCAAACATGTTTCTTTTCGTGGGCACATTTCTCTTCTCTTTCCAGCCTAACTCTAAGAAGGGTTAAAGACTCACACAGACTGCTTAATAGGCCAATTCCTTAAACACCAGGACTCTGATTCAATCTCCTCCCTTTTTTGGCATCTACCATCCCCACAAGTATCTCTTTGCAGTCATGAGGACTAGAAACTTTATCAGACTTAGCTACTTTTACAGAAAGCTACACTTCCACCAGGAAATCATCATCTTCCTGATTTTTGCTCCCCCCTGCTCGGTGGCAAAGAGAAAAAAAATGACAGCAAAACCTAATTTCATTTGGGGGACCATTCAGGGTGGCTTGGGGGGTAGTTTGCATACCTACAAAAAGGACAAGACAAGGACCCTCATTCAGCTGGACAGCGTTGGAGTCAGTCAGCTCTAAGACAGGCTTGGGGTGCCAGGGGAACTCCTGGCATTCAATGTCATTCAGCACCTCCACTCGGCCTTGTCGGGTGATCACGTCCCCCTTGGTGTCCAAGACTATAAGTGTAGGGATACCTGCAATAGGACAAAATAAAAAAGAAACCAAGACAGGAGAGGGGAAGCGGGAAGAGAAGGAACCACATTATTTCATATTACATGCTATATTTCACATAGTCAAAAGTTGTGCTGAAGTCAAGATATATTATATGTATAGCATCCCCACAATCTACTAAGGAAATTATCTGATTTGGAAAAGCAATACAATTAGTCAGACAAAATCTGTTCTTGACAAATTCGTGTCCTCGTATTAATGTGAGCTCATTAAAGTTATTTTTCTACATTCTGATGGTATCAAAGTTGTTTTTTTAAAAAATTTCTTCATTAATTTTCCATTCATGGGGCAATGATCATAGGTGAAAAAGTCCTTTTCCTTCAAGAGAGTGTCCCATGATTTTTGAACAGCCAACTGCGCACTGTAAGATGTTGCAGGGTGTTCTGACCCCTCCCCCTGCCCTGGGACCAACCTGTCTCCTTGCCCTATTACTCCCCTCCAAAACCTGAACGTACAGATTGGTACTTGAAATGACGGATACCTCAATATTAAGAGCAAGAATTCCCACACTTCCAATTACCGAGCCATTGACTTTAATGGAAAAAAATCCAGATTAAAAAATGACATTAAACAACTTTCTGTTCCCAGCCCCTCTGTCTTGAAAAGGCCACAGTGCCCAGGATCAACACTAAGTGAAGTCAAGTGAGATAATTTGACTCCCAAGGAAAAAAGATCTAGACAGAGGGCAACACAGAAAGGCATTTTAACTATTACTTGCCCCCCAAAAACAAGCCATCTGTGGGTAATTGCTGTCTGCTGATTACCAGCAGAAAACAAGCCAGCTGGGCTGCCTGGCCTGTTTTTTGCTGGCAAACAAGGAACTAGATATCCTTTTGCAGCTTCTGAGCATGTGCAGTGATGCCACTACACAGCCCCTCCTGTCAGTAGCATTACAAGCTAGGTATGCAAAAGAGAGGGTTGCACAGTAATATCACTGACAGGTGGGGGGTGGTCATAATTTGTTTCACTTTGCTACAGACACCCCTGGAATGACAGAATCCCCCAACAGAGGGACTGGTTGATAGCAATATTTATTTCATGGCTAATCCCACCCCAGCAGGGGAAAAGCTTATTTTCTGAAATGCATCGGTTCAGGTGGGCAGCTCAGGGAACAGGTGAAGTGGGAAACAGCTGGAGAAACAAAATGGGGGAAACAGCTGGAGAAACAAAATGTTTACAGGATGGGTAAACAGTGAAGAAAGGGACCCCCGAGCTTCTTCTCCAACTCTTCGAAAAGGAACAAGAGTCTACTGGAGAGTTTCTCAACCTTGGGCACTTTAAGATGGGTGGACTTCAACTCCCAGGATTCCCCAGCCAGCATGCTTTAAGATGGGTGGACTTCAACTCCCAGGATTCCCCAGCCAGCATGCTTTAAGATGGGTGGACTTCAACTC